AGTTTTTTAAAAGAAAAAGCAACTAGAGCTACTTCTTATGAGCATATGAAAGAAGCGAAGGGGGAAAAAGCATGAACAGCGATGGCCTGAGATGAATGATCACAAGTAATTAGTAATTTTGAAAAGATTTGAGATGTTCTGTTCCAAATCATAAAACGGAGTATTTAGCACGGTCCTCTCTCTTCAACTGTTACAATGGCTAAGTTTTCAAAAATTCGTTCAATAGAGTGTTAAAATTAATTTTTTTTAATCGTATAAAAGTTTATGTGATATGCCTATGAATATGTGAACCTGGCCTATGATGGATCGCCTTACCCCTCTATTCGCGTATTGCCTCAAGATCTCTTTTCTCATTCACCAAGTGTGCTTGTCTACTTCAAGTGCTAACGAAGGTCAGCAAAAACTGACAAGGATATGGTAGGTGAAGGGAAATAAGTCATGCGCCTCGTAATCCTCTCTGAACATGCCTGCCCTCGGAATTCCGATAAATTTACAGCATTCTATAATGACTTTTTACTTTTCAGAATTGAGGGGTACTGACGCTAGTTGATGCCATTAGCAATCAACTTGAAAATAATTCTACTACTGCTGAATGTGGAACTCACAGGTTCGACACCCAATCTCTCCTGAGCAATTTTCATGGCTTTCTGCGTATTTTCCAACGCATTTTCTGGAGTCCATTGCTCCCAATCCATGACTGCTCCAGGGACCAATGCATTAACCTGGAATAATCAATTTGCCTTCACTCGAACAGCTGTGCTAAGTAGAAACGACAAGACATCTACGTCATTAAAATTGCTAACCAATGCTCCAACAGCAATACCATCATTCCAGTCTGAGGTGAAGTTGGTAAGTGGCATGCCAGGTGGTAGTTTACTGCGAATCCAATTCAACAATTTTTGCTTTGGTGTTTCTTCCGGTTGACCCTCATTCCTCTCCTAAAATTAGCACTCGTTCAATCTTAGGATTTGATTGGCAAAAAGAGGTATCCGTAGTCCGTAAGGTCAACATCGTCCCTCAAAAGCTTGCAAAAATGCTAAGTATACTCGCGTGCCTTCTCACAGAGATTAATTCAGCACGTATTGTATGAGCTAAGAGCTAGTTTAAATTCTACTACGAAAAAGAGAATTTGTATAGCCATACTGAATCAATAAACCTTCCTTCAAAAATAGTATACTATACGATGCTACAAAGGATTTAAAAACTATGATACTAGAATGATAAAACGAGTTGAACATAGATTCTTTTGCCATTCATGCTTCCAATCCGGT